TATCCCCGTTTTCATTAAGCCAGGAATGACTGTGTTTCCTGAATTCATTAAAACAAAATAAGATTGCACCTGAGAACTGAACAAGCCGAGGGGTACAGACAGAGTGAACCATGGTGCTCTAGGCCCTTTGGAGGAGTAACCGGTCACAGGTTTTGGTGCAGTGGATCTGCTAACTGAACCCAGCAACCCATCGGTCAGTAACGTTTACTCGACACCCAGAGAAGGGAAGGCACAGTGTTTGGTGCTTACAGTGGGAAAGAAAATAGAGGATAGGCTTAATGTTTAAAACACGGGTCACCAGCAGGGCGAGATACGGGAAGTACATAGACAAGAACTCAGCTAACTTGTAGGACCACACGGTCAGCCAGCCAACCAACCAATGCATCAATCAACGGTGTCCAACTGATTCATGGTAACCTGTACCAGCCCAGCACTGCGGACCCAACAGGCTGAGTCAAGTGCTGAACAGGGCTCTCAGGAGCTCATGTCCAGCAGGCAGGTCAAGCCCTGGGTGCATCTCAGAGCCGACACACTCCCTGGCTGGTTTCTCTCCTGGGCTTTCTGGATGCTGTGTCACACCACACCCGGGCCTGCTACAGTGGCAATGAACTTCACTCAGACCAAGGTGCTGATCTAATTTTCATATTTCCCCAGCCAGCCTGAGAGAGAAGGAAAAGAAAAAGAGAGAAGCCAAGGGGTTTGGGGTGAAGTGTCAGGAACATGAGGAAGAAGAGAGAGAGTATCTGGGAGCGCCCACATGATACATGATACCAAAGAGCTATCAATCACTGAAAGGATGGGGCCTCAGGGGCGGCCAAGCTGATGCAACTACGCCATAAACTGCCCATCCCCGATTTCCATCCTCTTAGCAACTGAATGCCCTCTGGACAGGGTGGACATTCGCTCCCCACCTGATCTGGCTATCACTCTACTTCCTGGCTAATGGCTACACGCATACATTCGTGTACCTACCACGGGGGAGCTGGCAAGGAACGGTGGAGGGACTGATGAAAATCCATCTATAGGGAGCAACCCACAGCTTCTGTCACCTTATGACACTCTCAGCCAAGAACCTATAATGACTCCCCATTGCCGACTGCAGTAATTCTTATCACAGTTGCCAGATGTTCAAGGAATAACTTGATCTGGGCTTACACTTTCTGTCCGTTATTACATCCATTAAGAATATCCCCCTCGTTGAGTTAGCCCCGCCCTTTATCCGTAAACCATGCTCTTACTGCCTCAAGCTCGTGCTCCCATCACTGCCTCAGCCTACAATGCCCTTTACCCGCTTTGTCCCAGCATCCTTTAAGGCCTGGCCCAATCCCAATGTTTCCCTGTAGCCTTCTTCAATGTTCTGGGCCCTCTTTGTCTAAATACTTCTTACCCTTAGCTCTCACAACCTCAGTCAGCACTTGGCAAGGCACCTTGGTTCACGGTTCACTGTTCCCTGTTCCACACTCTTCATCCTTGCTCGCCAGTGAGATTACACACTTCTTACAGTGGCCTTGTCTTCTACGCTGCCTGCTCCTCCCCAACCACACTTGCAACTTCCATATCACCAAGCTCTAACTGCACAGAAGAGGCCTGATCAATATTTAACAACTTAAAATTAAATCCCTTCATCTGTTGATGGACACTTAGGTTGCTTCCATGTCCTGGCCATTGTAAATAGAGCTGCAGTGAACATTGTGGTACATGACTCTTTTTTTTTTTTTTTTTTTTTTTTGTGGTATGTGGGCCTCTCACTGTTGTGGCCTCTCCCGTTGCGGAGCACAGGCTCCAGACGCGCAGGCTCAGCGGCCATGGCTCACGGGCCCAGCCACTCCACGTCATGTGGGATCCTCCCGGACCGGGGCACGAACCCGTGTCCCCTGCATCGGCAGGCGGACTCTCAACCGCTGCGCCACCAGGGAAGCCCTACATGTCTCTTTTTGAATTATGATTTTCTCAGCGTATATGGCCAGTAGTAGGATTGCTGGGTCGTATGGTAGTTCTATTTTTAGCTTTTTAAGGAACCTCCATACTGTTCTCCATGGTGGCTGTATCAATTTACATTCCTACCAACAGTGCAAGAGTGTTCCCTTTTCTCCACACGCTCTCCAGCATTTATTGTTTCTAGATTTTTTAATGATGGCCATTCTGACTGGTGTGAGATGATATCTCATTGTAGTTTTGATTTGCATTTCTCTAATGATTAGTGATGTTGAGCATCCTTTCACGTGTTTGTTGGCAATCTGTATATCTTCTTTGGAGAAATGTCTATTTAGGTCTTCTGCCCATTTTTGGATTGGGTTGTTTGTTTTTTTGAAATTGAGCTGCATGAGCTGCTTGTATATTTTGGAGATTAATCCTTTGTCTGTTGCTTCATTTGCAAATATTTACTCCCATTCTGAGGATTGTCTTTTTTGTCTTGTTTATGGCTTCCTTTGCTATGCAAAAGCTTTTAAGTTTCATTAGGTCCCATTTGTTTATTTTTGTTTTTATTTCCATTTCTCTAGGAGGTGGGTCAAAAAGGATCTTGCTGTGATTTATGTCATAGAGTGTCCTGCCTATGTTTTCCTCTAAGAGCTTGATAGTGTCTGGCCTTACATTTAGGTCTTTAACCCATCAACAGACGAATGGATAAAGAAGATGTGGCACATATATACAATGGAATATTACTCAGCCATAAAAAGAAACGAAATTGAGTTATTTGTAGTGAGGTGGATGGACCTAGAGTCTGTCATACAGAGTGAAGTAAGTCAGAAAGAGAAAAACAAATACCGTATGCTAACACATATATATGGAATCTAAGAAAAAAAAAAGGTCATGAAGAACCTAGGGGCAAGACGGGAATAAAGACACAGACCTACTAGAGAATGGACTTGAGGATACGGGGAGGGGGAAGGGTAAGCCGGGACGAAGTGAGGGAATGGCATGGACATATATACTCTACCAAACGTAAAATAGCTAGCTAGTGGGAAGCAGCTGCATAGCACAGGGAGATCAGTTCGGTGCTTTGTGACCACCAAAGGGGTGGGATAAGGAGGGTGGGATGGAGGGAGACGCAAGAGGGAAGAGGTATGGGAACATATGTATATGTATAACTGATTCACTTTGTTATAAAGCAGAAACTAACACACCATTGTAAAGCAATTATACTCCAATAAAAATGTTTAAAAAAATAAAATAAATAAATAAAAATTTTAAAAAAGGAAAGGAAATAAAAAAATTTAAAAAAATCCCACTGACTACAGATCGTTATATGGAAAGGAAGTCATATTACCACCAATATTCTTTATATTATTTGCACGAACTTCTACAACGTGAGCATCAGAGAGACCATGGTGGTTCTCTACCAACCCTTTCATTTTACTTTGACGTGAGAAAACTGAAGCCCAGAGAGTACAGTTATTCCCCAAAGGTCACACAGCCCAAGACCCCAAGTCTCCTGCTTTCTAGATCAATCATCCCACTGCACCGGGTCGAATTCTGCGCACTCTCCACCGACATGGATCTCCAGGAATGGGACTGGAAAGGTGAACATTCGTGATGTTTGGTTGCTTCCACTGTTACCTGTACTACAAAGCACTCAAAAAGCTCAAGGTTCTCTTCCTGGCAGTATATTTCTAGTTCATTTTCACTAAGGAAATAACCAAAGCATTAAAACAACCTCCACTAACAGCTAATTGCCTGTCTCCTCTGCAGTTCCAAATGTCTCTAGTAATTGTAAAATCATGCCATCGAGCTAGGAGTTTCCTTTGAGGAGTTTTATGGCTTCTCTTAAAGAAGTTGCTTTTGATTTATGCTGATCATGTCTGACAGCCAGCATTTTTCTTAATAATAATCGTAAATAAGCGAGACAAGGTCACCCAGCCTGCAAGGAGCATATCTCCACTGCCGTATCCATTACGGAGCCTGGGATCTACGGCAGCTGCTCACAGCAGTCCGATGCCCTCGGCACTCTCTATTAAATCCCATCTCTGGCACCCAGACTGGTGCTTTGATTTTACACAAACAGCCTAACCTAACAAGGGACCCTCGAGAACAGCATTTACAAAAGGAGGTAGCAGCAAGCAAGGACACGTGTAGAGCCTGTGGTCCACTCTCCAAGTGGTTAGTTTAGCTTTTCTTCCTCTTTACTCCAGTGTAACAGCCAAACCAAACAATACAAGTCAAAAAAAGAGTAAAGCTATTGTAAGAATAAATTGGATTGGTAGATTCAAGATGCTAAATTAGAGTACGTGAAAGCACTCTGTAACACTCAGACTCATGTGAGAACATGGCAAACGTCACACAATAATCTGGACTTTGAAGACCAAGGCTGGGTAGATTGTAATAATAAGGTTTAACAACCGAGTACGGGGAAGGCCAGATTTTTTTTTTTTTTTGTCAAAGGCTCTGGCTTAGGTAAACTTCTTTGCTATTTTTAGTAACTGCTATCAATACATTTGAATGCCCTTGACCCTGAAAATAGGACCCAACAGCTGTCATGTTATATTGAACGGATTTCTGTTCTCCAACTTGTCTTATACAGGGGGTTCTGCTCCCAGGTCTGCTGCTGAGACTCAGGGCTGAGGGTCTGAAGTAGAGCACCGTCAGAATAGATCAAAGCCTGACGTATACACCGCCTGGGAAATAAAGACATCGAAGTTCTGACAGCCATGATGACTCCTGAACATGCTGGGAGGCCAACCTCCTCAACGTATTTCACGATCTGTGATGGGGTGGGTGAATGGGGCGATCTACATCATAACGTCTAGAATTACAACATGACTGCATGGGTCCCTTGAGGTTAGTTTCTTTGATTTGAGGCAAACAAATGGCTTATGATGTGCATTGACCACAGTCCCTACATTTGGACCGGAACATTCCAGAGTCTGCACTTGCCTGTGGTGTGACAGTGAAGCCCTCCATGGCTCTGTCCCCAGCAGGTGACAGGCGGTTGGGGACAGGGGCGCCCATCCTCGAGTCCTGGGGCCCGCCCTCCGCCCGTCGATGCCCGGGCCCGAGCCTACCTGAGTTGGCACGCTTCTTCGGGGCTTTGAGGCTGCGGCAGCGCCCGCCCACGGAGCTGCTGTTCTCGCTCATGGAGTCCTGGGCGGACGATGCGCTGCCGGTGGCCTCGCTGTCGCGCATCATGCTCTCGTAGCCGCTGCTGCCGCCGCTGTGGTAGAAGAGCGCCGTCTTGCCCATGGCAGGCGGCAGCTCGCCGCTCAGCACGCTGCTGTTGTCGCTGCCGTGGCCGCTGCTGCAGCGGTGGGGCCTGCGCGGCGGCGTGATCTTGCTGTAGGGCGAGGGCAGCGGGACGGCGGGTGGCGGGCGCTCGTCGGCGGTGGCCGCGCGCTCCTCCGCCTCGGGCCCCGCGCGCCCCGGCGGCCCCCGGGGCCCCGCGCCGCCCTGCAGCAGCTCCGAGATGCGTCCGTTCACCGCCCGCAGCGGCAGCTTGGACGCCAGGCCCGAGCCCCGGCTCCGGCTCAGCGATTGGGTGGACCAGGACATGTGCTTCCCGCCGGAGGGCGGGCCGGAGCTCTGGCCCACCGCCTGCGGCAGGGACTTGGTGGAGAAGCTCAGGGTCTTGGTGGTGGAGGTGGACAGGCTGCGGGCCTTGGGGCTGGCCAGGAGCAGCTTGCTCACGGCGGAGATCTTGGACTGGCTGGCCTTGGGCGAGGCCCCGGCCGACTGCGCGGGGCCCGGGTTGGTGGGCGAGGCCCCGGCGCTGCGGCCCGGGCTCCTCCCCGTGCGGGGCATGGTGCTGTCCTTCCCCGCGTGCAGCCTGGAGCTCACGGAGGACAGGCTCTCGGCCCTCTCCAGCGAGAGGCATTCGTAGTGGCTGACTGTTGTCCTGCCGAGAGAGTTGGTCCTGCTGGCCAGCTGCTCCAGTTTGGCACCGAAGAGCTTGCTGCCGCAGCTGCCGCCGGCATCCTTCGTCTTGCCGCTGGGCTCGTCCGGGAAGCTGGCCGCGAAGGGCGCCGGTTGGTTCAAGGGGCTGCTGGAGTTGCTGCTGCAGGCGCTGTGCTGGGGGCTGGCCCGGTTCTTCTGGTCCAAGCTGGACTTTCGGACAGGGGGCAGCGGGGGAGTCCCTTTGGGCCGAGCCAGGACACAGTGCTTGGGTGACGCCACCTTCCTCTCCAGGGCGGCCTTGGAGGGCTGGGTGCTGGAAGCCGGGCCGATGCCGTTGGTCTCGGCAGGGCAGTGAGAGAAGAGGCTGTCCGGTTCCTCCTGCCGGCTGGCTTTCTGAAAAGCCCTGGGAAGGCTGCTCGACTTCAGGCTTTTGTTGAGATGCACAGGGCTCTGGGCAGCCACACTGGGCAGGGCCGTCTCACAGCCGTCCACAACCCTCCTGAAGTTGTCGGCCACGGGGGAGGCAGATACCTCACCGCTGCTGCTGCTGAGCCCGTCGCTGGGGCTGGCCTTCCTGTCCTGTTCCGCTCTGGCCTCAGGCTTTGGGGGGCCTGGGGCAGTCTCGTGCCTCATCCCTGCTTCGTGGGGATAGGCATTCTCTTTTTTTACCTCCTCTTCTCGCTTCAGCCAGGGGTCCTCAAATTTCATCTCTTTCTTTGCACCACTTTCCTTGCTCTCCTGAGACCGGGCTGCTTTGGGGACTGAGCTGACGGTGGCAAGGGACGCCTCGGGCTCTTGGACGTTCCGGGGGCTCACGGCGATGCAGGGGTAAACCGTAATGTTGGTCTTCATGGGGATGTACCCTTCGCAGTTGCTCAGGCTGGCCGTATTAGAGATGGTGACCATGGCTTTGCCCAGCGTGGATATCTTGCAGCCTTTGATGGGGGTTGCTTTGTTGAAGGAGTCGTCCCCCATTTCCGACAAGATGAGCAAACTGTCGGGGCCCTCCTTGGGTTTCTCTCGGCACACCACAGCGGTGTTCTGCATGCCGCTGACGAACTCCGAGGCCGGAGGATCTGCCATTGCTTCCCCGTGCCCGAAACACGTCTGGGCTATGAAACTGTGGCAGGGCGGCTCGCTGTCACTGCCTGTGCTCATCTCACTCAGCCAGGAGCTGATGGAGGAACGCCTGCTCCCTGTCTCCCGGGCCTTCTCATCCAGGTTGAGTTTCGGGAGGGGCAGGAACTGCGTGATGCTGACCTCGGAGACAGGAGCCGCGTTCGAGTAGCCCTCGAGGTCCTCGCTGACGCTGCCGATGATGCTGACGGGCCTGGAACCCGAGGCCAAGGCCTGCACCGAGCAGTCGCTGTTGAAGCTGATGACGCTGCTGGGGCGGCCGCCCAGGACCCCGCTGATGGTCAGCTCCTCCACCAGCGTGAACACCAGCTCGTCTTCACCGTTCAGCTCCAGGGGCTGCTGCACTGTCACCATCGTGGTGCTCCGTATCTCCTTCTTGGCATCTGCAGAAGTGGCTGCCTGATGTTCGGCGTCCACAGGGGTTTCTGGGAACCCTTCACTCCCAGTAGACATGGATTTCTTCAAAACCTGGGGGCTCATTCCGACCGGGGGGGTACGTACCTCGGGCTGCAGCAGGGACTCACTAGATACCACGCCCGCATCCTTGCTGAAGGTGGGCAGGGGGGCGGGAGAAGGCAGGACACCCTTCTGGGTGTAGACTTTGCACCTCTGGGAAGGAGAGCTGGCCGGCTTGTACTCTGAGGTCTTGGACAGGCTGGCGATGCCCAGCCTGGGGGAGCCCATAGGCCTGGGCTTGCCTTCTACAAAGCCACAGGAGTTCAGGCTTTCCCGGCTGCTCTGGAGGCTGGGGCTCTGCACGAGCTGGGAAGAACCGTGCTGGCTGCTGCTGCCCGGGATGCTTCTGGGTGAGGCAGGGGTGGGGCTGTTGGTGAGCCATGCAGCAGGGACAGGGGAGTGATTCCCCTGCACCTTGGAGCCCGGGGGCTCACTGCCTTCTCTGGCTGTCAGCTGGCCATCTGACCCATCATCTTCCTTATCAGACTCACAGAGTGGGCTTGCCCCAGCTGCTTGGCTTAGCGGGACACTCTTGCTCACGGGCTGTGCCCCAAACTGGGCCGGCAGCTCTTCGAAAGGGAACGTGCTGGACTCCTCGCTGCCATCAATGCAATCTAGCCTCTCCTGCAGCTCGGCGAACGTGTTGCACTTCAAGCAGTCCCTTTCCGATTTGCTGGCCGCGGCCTCTCCGGCCTCCGTGGACCGGCTGTCGCCCCTGGCCGCCTTCTGCAGGGCCGGCACGATAGGGACAAAATCTGGAGGCCCCTCGTTGTCGGTGAGCTCCTTGTCAGAGAGGGCCGTGCCATTTGGCCCAATGTAGATGACCGTGTCGCAGGACTGCTCGCTGCTGGAGGAGTAGTCGGGGTCGCTGGACAGGTGAGGGATCGGGAAGTCCGACTCCACGGCGGCCCTGGCGTGGAAGGGTCTCAGCTGGGTGGGCCTGCGCATTCTGCCTTCCTCACAGGAGCTCTCTCCCCCGGAGGAGCTCGACGTGTACTGTGAGTGAGAGGGGAACCGTTAGTGTGGGCCGCCCTTCCAAGACAGCCCTCCCAGGGACCCTGACTTCATGGGGCAACTGGTGGAGGCCACTGGCTCCATATAGGCCATCCAGACCCCAGTGGGCCTCCCTGCTTCTGGGCTGTTACCCGGGGTGTGCCAGGCCAGGCACCCAAGCTATGCATGTCACGGCCTCATACTCGAAGGATAACCCCTGTGAGGTGCACTGGGGAAGCAGAGGCTGCTCATGAAACGGGGTGACCCGCCCAGGTCCCATCTGACTGCCTAAGGACTGATGAGGGGTCACCAGTTGGCACACCCAAACCATTTGTGACAACTTGTGCCACGGAACACTGGAAAGATGTGTTTTTGACCAAAAAAAAAAAAAGAGAAAGATACAAAAAGGAGGAGGAACGCCTCCCACAAATCACCAGCTGGCTATGGACCAGAGTGACCACAATCATGATTATTTTCTCAAACGTTCTTGTCACACCACCACTGTCCTGGCTTTGCCTCGGCCTGAGAAAACGAGCCCAGCGGTTTCTGGCAGACTCTGCATCAACCAGAAACCATTGAATTAACATGACAACACCCAGCAGCCCGAGAATGCCTCCTGGAAATGCAAGGGAAGTAGGGCCACCTGAACAAGGAGGGGTCAGTCAGTTGAAGGACCAAGGTAGGCAAGAGGTAAACTATGAATAGTTCCCGTCCCTCTCAAAATTTTCAAAGTAGCAATCCACTTAAACTATCTAAAGTGGACCAAGTACTCCCTGTTAGGCGTCCAGGCTGGATGACCGAGGAAAGCACCAGCTGTGGAGGGGAAGTGACTTCAGTATCGGCCAGAAGGGGTTCCTGCCCCAAAGTAGTTGCTGAGCCGGGCCAGCGGCAGCCAGCCACGCTCACCACGCCCCTGGTGCTGGGGGATTCGAAATATTGATTTGACTCTTTCTGACTCAGTTCCAGGGCAGGGCTACGAAAGCTCCTTCAGCCACCTGCACCCCCTGCAAGCTCCTTACCTTCGTTTTCTTTTTCTTCATCCTCAACACTCTCGAGGCAATCTGGATGGTGGACAGGGTTTCGGCATAGTTCCCGGCGGCGGCCGAGATGTGAGCGATCATGGTCGTGCGGCAGTTCACGTTCCCCAGGGACTCCCGCAGCAGCATGGTGAGCTTGCTTTCTCTGCCAACAAAGTGAATTAAGGCTGCATTAGCGGGCCATGCTTCACTTTGGCTGTCAGGGTAGGGCTTCAGGCCCCTACGTGGCTTGTTGTGGGCAGTGGGGTTTTTTTTCCCCGTTTTTTAAATGGCATCTTCTACACGAGGCTATTTGTAGTTGACAGCTGAGCAAGTGCTTCCAACCCCAAGGATGGAATTCATGCAAAACACCTCCCCTGGCACCACCGTCCTGGCTGTGATGGGGTATTCCTGTGTGTCTGCGTGTGTGCATATGACATTGCACATAATGAGACCTGGGAATAGAAATGAGAGGAAGGGATGGAGAGAGAACAGCTCTGTGATCGGTGATTCGGCATGCTAGCTGCACACCTGGCCCTTCTTTGCAAGTTTCTGCACCAGGCAATCCCCACAACAAAGAGCAGTTCCCCAGCCGTGAACTTGTATTGAAGATCTCTGGGTTTGTAATACATACAAGGTTTCTTTTGCCAAGGAGCTGCACCCACTTTATTGCCATTGTCTCTTAACTCCTATCTGCACACGGTAGTGATGAAGGAAAATGTATTCATATTCCTGATTATTACTGGGGACACACAGACATAGGCCCGAGCACTCACTCAATCAGCAACAGAAAGCAGAACTTTCTAGAAGGGACTCCTCTGGGGACTTTGCAGGTGCTGCGTGGGACCAGTGCCCTGAGGGGTGATAACAAGGCCCAGGAGTTTACAGATGGTGTTTCTAGGCTCTTTAAAAAGTGGTCTGGAGGAATGGGTCATGTTTTTCCATTCCTATACTTGTCCCAACATTCTTCCTGCCTTGCTTTTAACAGGCTTCTGCTTACATCATCATCTTACCTGCTGCCAAATGTCACTGCATCTCTGGAGACTCCCCTGATCCCAAAGGCTGAGGGAGACTCTTTGCTTCCCATGCCCTGTGTTGAGTTTATTTTGCCAGATGAGAGGGGTTTGTCCTCACGCCTGTGTCCGCATCAGACTCTTAGCCAGACATCCCCTCCTTTCCCCCCCACCCTGCCAACTCAGCTCTCTGGAGAGAGACTGTCCAGCTCAGGAGACTCAGTGTGACATGTAGGCCGCTGTCAGCAGAGATTAGACCTTGGAGACAGGAAACCACTTCACATGTGACCTGCATCAGACCTTCAGGGAGGAAAGACTGGTGTAAGAGCAATAGTTTTCCCTTTCTGTCTGGGACCAATTAAGGTGTCAGTTCAGGGATACTGGGCTCACTATGGCTCAGTGCCAGGGCAATTTAAAAATATATCAGGGTTTCGCTTCGAGCAAAATAATCAGTGATAAAAGTGATGGAAGGAGAGTGCTATGGACTGAATGTTTATGTGTCCTCCAAATTCATGTGTTGAAACCTAACGCCCCAAGTGATGGTATCTGGAAGCCGGACCTTGGGGAGGTGATTAGGTCATTAGGGTGGAGCCCACATGAGTGGAATTAGTGCCCTTATAAAAAAGACCCTGGAGAGTTTCCTTGTCCCTTCTGCTATGTGAGGACACAGTGAGAAGACGGCTGCCTGTGAGCCAGGAAGCGGGCCCTTACCAGACACAAATCCGCTAGCACCTTAATCTTGGATTCCCAGCCTCCAGAACTGTGAGAAATAAATGACTGTTACCTAAGCCCCTCAGTCTATGGTATTCTGTTATAGCAGCCTGAACTGACTTGGACAGAAAGGTAAGTGGGGTGTGGAGGAAGAGACCTCCAGCCCTAGCTCCGGGCTCTAAACATTTAACTTCCTTCAAAATGTCTATCAGGAATATCATGGACACCACCAGAGCTGATGACCAGATGGGGAAGTCAAGTCCCATTCCTGGCACACATTCTCAGCAGAGACACTGCACCTGGATGAGTTTAGGACTTTGTCTTCCATATGGGAAATGGAAGATAGATTCTATTAGGGTTAAGTTGTGATCATATATGGTTAATTCTTATCATTCATGATAGTTATTTTTGTTAAGTCTCCATGAACACTGATTTAGTGAATGCTGAGCCATGCTCCTAGAGGAAATACATGATTCTAGGTTCCTGAGATCCTCTGGTCACAATATTTCATCAATGGATCAATACATAATCTTGTTTTATGTGCATATCTGTTTAAAGACACCTTAATTTCTATTTCTTATAAATAATGAATTATATGTACTTTCTATATAATAAAACACTAGCTGAGAAGGGTTGAACATTTCCCTGACCCTGGGTAACATGACCATAAATTTCTTGGGCTTTAAGCCTTATGGTATTTTCCGCTATGCTTTTTAAAAAAAAACTGGTCATATTGTGAATCCACAAATACAGCCCGTTTCTACAGCTTCATTATGCACTTTAGACGTAACCTGAGTACTTTCCAGAGCAGTCTGATATACATCGCTGAATTTCCTCTTCCTTTTTCTGGATGTGCCATATTGTTGATTCATTAACACTGAACTCACACCAACAGCACTATAATATGTCTGAATGAAACTTCTCTAACACATATATTTTCTCTGTAAGGTACATCACAGCCTTCTTGCACTAAAGAACACTAGACAGCACTGCAGCACTACACCTAGGGGCCTACTTTAAACAGTGAGATCACGAAAAAAAGCACAGAAATACTAAAAACATGTGTCCCTAAATAGACTGCAAAAAGGACCCTTGTTCGCAGGAAGAGCGGTGAAACAAGAAGGCAGGGCTGTTGCCTTGTCCAGTTTCAGCTGGGAACATGTGCATTGGGTGGCTCAGAGTTTTTGCTACTAAGCATGTCTGCAAATTATGGTAAAAGTATGGATTTTGAACATAATTCACAACATGGAATCTGCAAATGATTCCAAGGACTGACGGTACGATGACGTTCCTAATGATACGTCTTGTTCATCAGTTGCACCCTGCTGAAGGTACACCCCACTTATTTCTCCATGTGACCCCGTAAAGTCTTCAGGAAACGATACCAAAGACAGAATAAACAGATATAGCACTGTTATATCAAATTGTTTGCCCTGTGTATTTCCACATGATTCCCCATTCATGAGTCAATCATAGGACAATTTTATTTTTTTAAGTCCACATTGTTGGAAGAAGCCAGGGCATGTGTGTTGCTTGGCAACCAGCATTTTAGCTCTCCTTTGGAAAGCCAGTAAAACTGCCGGCAAGACTGTTTCATGTGGGCCTCTCTAGACTCTAAAACATACCTTATGGGAGTGAAAGATGGTGGCTATAAAGCTTTGTTTTTTTCCACCTCTTCATGATCCTTTAGCTTGGAACAAAGACAATTAAGTTGGGGAGGGAAGGTGAAAGAACGGACAAGGTACTAAAGGCTGCAAACTGTAGGTTTAACTCAGTGTCTTTGGGAGGAAACTAAAAAGGTTCAAAAGAGTTTCTAGGGCAGTGGTCAGCACAAACTCAGTTTGCACTCTGCATGCAGACTGAGGCTAGAGGAAGAGGAGAGCACAGGTGCAGAGCTGCTTGCCACTGAGCCTCAGGGCCGGGCTGGACGAGGATTTAGACTCGGGGGCCATGTGGGAGAGATAGGTTGGGTGGGAGAGGAAAGCACTGGTGACGGAGCAGAGCTGACTGGGGTCTGGGAAGAACCATGCCGTTTTTTCAGGCAGCCATGTTCTATGCACACATATTCCCCCTCCCTCCCACCCCAACGGTACACACCTTTTAAAATGAGTTTTGGAAAAATGTCTCACTTCTTAAAATAAGTCAACCTTTTATTAGAGCAAGAGGACACCAAAAAATGGCATAATGAGCAAATTTTAATTAATAATATTAATTTTACAAGAGAATGAAAGAGAATGTAGTACTCTAGGACAGGGGCTGACAAACTAAGGCCTGTACGCCAAATCTGACCCACTGCCTGTATTTGTAAAAAAAGTTTTATTGGGACACAGCCACACCAGTTTTTTAACATATCGTCTCTGGCTGCTTTCATGCTACAACAGCAGAGGTGAGTAGTTGTGACAGAGTCCAAATGGCCCCCTAAAGCCACAAATATTTGCTATCTGGTCCCTTACAGAAAAAGTCCATTGACGCGTGCTGTAGAGTAATGACATAAGGTGGTTTCATTTTATACAGAGTGCCAAAGAGTTACACACCAGAGCACAAAGGTGTGTCTTAATTTCCTTACTATTCAATAATCTTGTTCTGATTTGATAGTTGTCTGTGTTATCTTTCTCTCAGTTCAGATGTCTCATGAAGGGAGAGCTTTTAAAGTCAGCAGCATGGAAACAGGCAGAGGAACAAATGCTGGCTTTAGAAATCACTTGACCATCAGGACACAGCTATCAGTAACTGCCCCAGTCATTTCCTATGTGATGCAGAGCCTGTCCTTCTCAAGGGGGCTGTGAGGTTGCTCACCCTCCTTCAACTTGTTAACTCGTGAATGTCCATAGTGGCTCACTCAAGAAGCATTTGGTGAGTTCTGACCATCAGGAAGCCACCCTGCAGATGCTGAGAACGTGCAAGGCAGAGAGCCTAGAGGACCTCAAGAAGCCCACTATCCAGGGAGGGAGACACATATGTAAACACACATACCATCCATTAAAGCTAACGACAGAAGAACAAATCTGAAACAGCACATGCTAAGGAAAAACCCTCAAGGCTGCGGGGTGTCTCCACCATCACTGTTAACTCCCTGATGGCTAGAGAACACCCAGACCTTGATGGTTATAGTGTGGTTCCGTCTCCTTGGCTGGGATTCTCCTACGTAGCAGGCATCCAGGGATTTATGAGCTTGAGGTCCCAAAAACACCCAACAGAATTCTAAATTCCTTTCTGAAAGGACAGTCTGGAATCTCTAGCTCCTTGTTCCCTGACCCTGAGAGCTGGGAAACTCTCTCAACTGGTAATCTGGTACCGGGCCACCAGTGAAATGAGATGTCCAAAGTCACACATTTGCAATGTTGGCCAGGTAATTTCATAAGAAAAAGCCATTCCTTTCATGAGAGCTGTTAAATATATTTCTTCCCCAGGAAGGAGGTGAAGAACTCTGGAAGTAGAAAGA